TCGCCCCGACTCGTTTCGTTGCTGGCGTAGACAGCAACTCATCAGGGGGCTTCCAAAAAGATACCAACCAAACCCAGCGGAAGTGTACGGAGACTCGGCCCGTACTTCCTTAAGTACACCAAACTCCCTAGGAGTACGTACTTCGATACTTGATCAGAACCGAGAAGCTTCACAAAACCCACTCTCTATTCACCCGGACTCTCCTAAGCTTACCATCATTCCAATAGAGCTACATCCTACCTATGTGGTGGCATTCCTTTGCCCGGGATAGTCTAAATAAGAGAAATTAAAAAGGAAAAATAAAACAGCCTACGAAAGGACAAGGAAAGCCTATCGCTATCTGAATCTATCCACTTCCTCCAATTGTCCAGATTAGCACAGTTCRAACTTTTCCAYAAAAATTCGATCCTCATTGCCTGTTTATCGGTACAGGTGCATTCTCGATYGRCCGAACTAAGATACTTGTTCTCGCGACGACTCARGAAGTCGTCSGATACCAATATCTTCGTTYGCCAAACATTCAGTGCCAAAAAACGCCCAGTATTTCTGCCAAACATCTCGGACATAAGTAACAGTCACTAATTTTACATGTCGGAAGTCCGGCCTTCCGACAGGTAGCAGGTCGACCATTTGACTTATCAATCGGCCAAGCAAACAGAAAACAAAATTCAAATTCCGCATTCAAATAGTGTACATACTAAGCATATCCTCGGGCAGCAGCCTGCCAAAAACCAAACTCTTCGGAATCTATCCGATCAAACTGGTCTGACCGGTGCTCATTTCGAAGAGGTGCCGCGGTGGAAGGAAAAAAGGGGAAAAAAAAAAAGGAAAAAAGGAAAAAAAGGGAAAAAAGAAAAAAGAGAAAAGGATCGGGAAGTATAAATGAAGATAAATAAATGAAATGCCCGACGGTACCATACGCGTGTGTGCTATGTGAAGCTCAAAAACTTCTCGATTCCAGGGTATATCCCGGAAAAAGTCTCTTTCCGGGGACTCCCGGAAAGGTTAGCAAATTTTGCTAACGCAGCGAGAGAGACCTCCGGGGGGTATCCCCAGAGGCGTGCTTTTTTTTACTGCGGATATCGCAGCTAGAGTCGCTTCCTCTGATGTGGAGATCCGGTCCAATCTCACCATACTGGCAAACAAAGATGCCTTCTTGGCTGATTTCCTGGAAAAGGATGTGTAGTCCTGCATAGAATGGATCTTAATACTCCCGATTTCCGCCAGATATCCCTGGTTCTTGGTCCTGGGGAAGATATGGATATGGATTGGCGATGATTCGATGACCACACGGGCTCCCAAGAAATCAAAGGCGTTGAACCCTTCATCCTTCCTTACCAAGGTGAGGTTGATATCATAGCATGCCTCAAATCGCTCCAGGATGCTCACAGCAACTTGCTCGTTATCCACATTCGAGCCATCCCACCCTACGAAAATAGCCACGTCATCAATCATCCGCAAGCCCCTTACCAAAGCACGATCTCTCCCCAATGTATCCAAAAAGAGGGCCTCAGACTTCGCACACACCAGACATGCTAAGGCGGGACTAGAGTTCCTACCCATAGGAATCCCAAAGACCTGCTTTAGCATCTCTCCTGCACATTTCAGATACGTGTTCTCCAATTCAAACCTCACAGCCTTCAAAATTAAGGCGAAATCAATAAGAACAAAGCCATCACTCTTCTTCCTATTCTTTGCCATCATACACAGTTTCCCCCTAACGCTCACCCTTACCCCCACCAAATTTCGTCGCCTGTGAAACTCGGTCAGCCAATGAACCGCATCCAGAATACTCTCGTGTGATAGCCTAGCGAACATATCCTTGACGTCATAGCTTCAAGCAACAATCCTATCAACGACCCTCCTGATGTCTGTTTGGATACAGGTCGCTTGCTTCCGCAGATCATTCATCGAACGCAGGTCGAAATGTCTCCCATCCCCAATCCCAAACAACATAAACCGTATCGCCCGTCCTACCCTCGATCCAACCAGTCGAACGGGATCTTTGGTCGCAGGAGCGATCGGTCTCCATCGATCCAGGTCCTTATCCTTTGGCAGGACATATGCATGTCCTACTTCCCCACCTTTGCCCCATGCAGCTATCCTCGTGAGACCAGTCTGTGTGTAGGCGGCCTTCATCCTACCGATGATCTCACCTTCTTCTTCTCGAACCGGTAGATAGCTGGGATTAGCATTAAACGTCAACTCGCAAGCGTGCAGGTAAAGTACCGGGCACACCACCAAGGACGCTCCCGGGTTCCTATCGATCGGTATTGTGACCAGCTGCTCGATCGATCGAGACCAGAGGAGTACTTCCTGGGTCGTCAAGGCTTGGGTCGAACGCCTAGCCTGCGTCTTCATGCAGTTCCTCAGATCGCCATCACTGATAAGTACGGGTCTCCCCCGGTTCCAGGGCCTAATTGCAGACACGATGCATTCCCGTAATTTACCTGGTGACAAGTCATCACCGCATGTCACGTTCTTGGAGTTCTTCACGAAGGAAGGAGTGGCGGGTATCTCATCCAACCTCACTTTCACATGTCCTCGAGCTCTCGGTAAGTCCATGTCTCCACAGGTGAATACCGCCTTCTGCATCCCGGCCCAACGGCGCTGATTATGTATCACTTGTCCGACGTTGCGTCTTCGGCTAAAGACAACGCGAGTTCTCGCAACAATGTACCTCCGGATGGGAAGATCACTGATCAATCCCTCTAAAGCCCGAGCCGCCAGATCTCTCACATTCCTCGAGATGATATTGGTGGAGAACGGCATCTTAACCCGTGGTCTGTTACGCACTTCGAACCCGTGAACCTTCCTGATCACCCTCGTGATGGTAATCTTCAGCTGGTTCCTAGTACACTTCCGACCGAACGTACTAGCCGTCCTATACAATGCAATGAGCTCCGCGGAACCCTTCCGGTAGAGGTCTTTCACCCTCCACAGTTGGGCGAGCAGGTCCCGGAGCACATACCGTCCATGTTCTACAGCAGATGAGGTAATTTTGATCCTGTCCACGTCAAATGTCCCTCTGGCTTCCAGGACCCGTCGACACATTTTTATCGGCAAGACGTTTCCAGAAACCCTCAACGTACTCTCCCCTACCTTACCTTTCACAACCCTCCATCTATCTGCCCATACATCCCCTCCACTGGACACGATGGATCGCTGCCCATCACTCCCGAGGAACCCTTTCAGGAGATCGATCAACGACGCTGTCTTGTTAAAGGTAATCATTCTCCCCTGTATCTTGTTCACCCCCCTCTGTCCTCTTTCCCTTTTACCTTTCCTCCTTCTAGATTTCCTGCCATCTCGGCACCGCCCATGCGTGTTCATAGCCGGTGAATATCTCTTAATCGGTGCCTTCTCGATTACAAGGGGATCGCTCACTTGAACCATCACCGGTAATACGAGATACTTATCCCATCCGAATACTCTTAACCACGCGTGCAGTTTGGGGGCATTGCCCATCTTACCAGCTATGGCTAGCTTTACGTGCTCCGACCACCTAAGAATGAAGTTCCTCATGGTGCGGCCGACATACGTGTGACGGCACCAGGGGCTTACTAATACGTAAATACCGGATCCCTTAGTAGTAAGATCACCCACCTCTTCACCGAGCATGTCGATCCATTTCTTTGCCCAAGGACAATGACCTCTAATTACGAAAAGCACAAACCACCGGACGATCACGTCTTCCTCGCTATCACTCAAAGTACCGGGGTTTCTCGAGATTTTGCTCCCTCTATCCCTCAGCAGCTGCTTAAGAGTGTCCATGTCTCAATACTCACCTCTCAGCCAACGAAGACAAATGTGCAGAATCATCCACTTCTCCGTACGCCAGTTTGGCACGACACCGCACTATCTCGCTAACGGTCTGATCCTTTCTCGTCCATTCGATACCCTCCTCATTACAAATCTTCTTCAACTCTGGCGCCTTCTTCGCAGAGAGAGATCGGTGCATCTCGATGATGTATTCCAGCATATCGCCGCTCGGCGTATCATTCGCAACGCCTCTTCTCTTAGCAGGTGGAGTATGAACATCATCGGGTACGTCCTCGACGATAATCGGGCAAGCTCTCGTGGTCTTCGGTCTAGATGCTGATAGTGCCTTCCCACCCTCAATCTTCCTCTTCCCCTTCCTCCTCTCAATCGCATCAATCAGACGTCCGGCTTCCTCTCTCACTTCATCGCTTTCGTCTTCGGATTCGTCGATATAACTACAAATCTCTCTAAGCATACGCGCCTTCGACTTCGGTGATTTCGTCCTTGCTACCGGCACTATGCCCGTGTTCACCGATTTAGTGTGCTGAGTCATCAGCCTCACTAATCTTGCCTCTAAGCGCGCTTCTCTGGCCTCAGCCTCCCGCAGCCTATCCGCTTCTCTCTTTTCTTCGTCAAGTCTTTTCTTCTGCTCTTCACGATCTCTCTCCCGCCTCTCCTCCTCGGCTTTCTGCTTCTGTATCTTCTTGCGGAAGAAGGCCTTCATCTCGCTAGTCTCATCGTCCATCCCAGGTGCCGTATGCTGTTGGTGTTGAAAATGCTGGGGACGGCGCCCATTTCCCGCCGCCCAGCAGTTGCGGGCATAATGCCCATACTTGCCGCATAAATGGCACGAGACTGAGCCAGCCTGCAGACCAGCCGTGTTCATAGGTACGGGATTCGCGTTGAACCCTGGAAAGGGTTGTTGCGTCCCCTGCTGAGGATTAGCCATAATCAGCTGTGTCTCCGTTCTTGTCTCCTCCTTCGAAACCTCTGATTCCTGAATAGACAACCCAGGCTGTGTATCCATCCCAATACTTCTTCTAACAGGTTAATGACTTCCTCGGCGGAGTTCTGGTCGCGGAAGTGCAAAGCTATAAAAAACGCTGGAGTAAGAGTATACTCTACTAATCGCTGGAGTTCGAACCACTGACGCTCCAATTCAATATCTCTAAAGTTCCCGGTCGACATTCCCACCCCCACTATACTAAGCTATACCAAACCACGTGAACACCCTCTATCAATGCTTCTCAATCACTTTCCAAGTAACCGAAATACGTACATCAAAGGTCCACCCACCACCCAATCCTTTATCCCGATATCCTTGAATCCATGCGCAGCTACTCAGAATAATGGCGACAACACAACCGTAACTCACTAAACTCTTCGCCTTCAAACCGATCATAACTAGCTGCATGTGCGCCTCGAAGACGATCACGCTCGAGGTCACAGATACACGAACCACAACGTAGCCACCGAGCCACTGTCTAGACACGTCGGTTACCACGCTCATAGAGATTCAAAGAGTATCTGTAGAAGAGGAAGATGACAAAAGAGTATGGCGTAAGAAATTACATATAAACCCGGCATACATTCAAAAAAACACCATCTCCGCTCTTCGTACACATCACCCCGACGCGTTTCGTTGCTGGCGTAGACAGCAACTCATCAGGGGGCTTTCAAAAAGATACCAACCAAACCCAGCGGAAGTGTACGGAGACTCGGCCCGTACTTCCTTAAATACACCAAACTCCGTAGGAGTACGTACTTCGATACTTGATCAGAACCGAGAAGCTTCACAAAACCCACTCTCTATTCACCCGGACTCTCCTAAGCTTACCATCATTCCCAATAGAGCTACATCCTACCTATGTGGCGGCATTCCTTTGCTCGGGATAGTCTAAATAAGAGAAATTAAAAAGGAAATTTAAATAAAACAGCCTACGAAAGGACAAGGAAAGCCTATCGCTATCTGAATCTATCCACTTCCTCCAATTGTCCAGATTAGCACAGTTCGAACTTTTCCATAAAAATTCGATCCTCATTGCCTGTTTATCGGTACAGGTGCATTCTCGATCGGCCGAACTAAGATACTTGTTCTCGCGACGACTCAAGAAGTCGTCCGATACCAATATCTTCGTTTGCCAAACATTCAGTGCCAAAAAACGCCCAGTATTTCTGCCAAACATCTCGGACATAAGTAACAGTCACTAATTTTACATGTCGGAAGTCCGGCCTTCCGACAGGTAGCAGGTCGACCATTTGACTTATCAATCGGCCAAGCAAACAGAAAACAAAATTCAAATTCCGCATTCAAATAGTGTACATACTAAGCATATCCTCGGGCAGCAGCCCGCAAAAAACCAAACTCTTCGGAATCTATCCGATCAAACTGGTCTGACCGGTGCTCATTTTGAAGAGGTGCAGCGGTGGAAGGAAAAAAGGAAAAAAAAAAAAAAAAGGAAAAAAGGGAAAAAAGGGAAAAAAGAAAAAAGAGAAAAGGATCGGGAAGTATAAATGAAGATAAATAAATGAAATGCCCGACGGTACCATACGCGTGTGTGCTATGCGAAGCTCAAAAACTTCTCGATTCCAGGGTACATCCCGGAAAGAGTATCTTTCTGGGGACTCCCGGAAAGGTTAGCAAATTTTGCTAACACAGCGAGAGAGAGAGAGAGAGAGAGAGAGAGAGAGAGAGAGAGAGAGAGAGAGAGAGAGAGAGCAGGGAGGGAAGGTGGTGGTGTAATCTTGAATACTCTTGCATCATCTTCCTTCTTCTTTGTCGGCACAGCAGAAGACATTTCCTTCCTTCATGAAGGAGAGAAGGAAGATGATGAAGGGAGCCCATTCAAGAAAAAAAAAAAAAAAAAAAAAAAAAAAAAAAAAAAAAAAAAAAAGAAAGAAAGATTACACCAGAACACAGCAGCAGCAGGTTTGCTGCGCTGGCAAGTTCTGATGATCAAAACTGCAATGGAAAAACAACTGCAAGTCTGCAATCGAAAAAAATTGCGAAGTCTGGCAAGTTCGCAACACAAACACAGGCATGCTAAGTTTTCTCTTGTGATGATTACAAATGCAAATGAAAAAAGAAAACATAAAATGAAAATGATGATGTGCCATATATTGATGTGCTCATCCGATGATGATGTGGCATATATTTGGTCTACAACAGCCATTTGGTTAAAATGGACATTTTAATGATTTTATCATTTATTGAACGAAATTGAAACAGAGTAATTTGGCCCAAAAGGTGTCAAAAGTTCTGGCTCCTCAGGGGTCTAGTCCCACCTACAGCGTTGAGTTTTCTCAACGCTGCACTTTCTATCACGTGTGGCATGGTGGGACGGAGCTCTGCCGGTACCAAAATACAGGAGAATAACCTATTAGATTTAGTCATTTTGTATAATTTTTCTTTGACGTGAAATCCATTTTGTAGAATGCGTTGGCCCTTTTGGTTTGGGTGGGAAGCCATTTTCCATTGAGAAAACTACCCTACGGAGGGTAGGGTACATTTCTCAACGGCAGTGCCTTTCCTTTTTTTTGTTTTTTAAAACCTCATTGCATCCTGAAACGGAGGAACTCTGACAGCTGTGTTTGGCTGTCTGGCATCAAACTCGTTTCCTTCTTTGGGCAATGAATGCATTTGGCCGTCCACGTCAAATGGTGACCTCCTGTCCCCTCACCACGGGGAGTATCCCTTTTTCACGGAGACTTTCACTCCGACTGTTCCAGACATGTTTCATTTCTCCGAGTTATGTTATAAAAAATAAGGAGAAAAGCTGTTTCTAGCGTTTTTGTCAGTTTTTAAATTTTTTGTTTTGAATTTATTAATGTCGAAATGGCGTCACACCGTTGAGTTTTCTAAACTCAACAACGTTAGGTGGGACCAGACCCCAGGGTCCCCCTGGATGTATCTTTATCTGGGCTAAAACTAAGGGTCCCTATGGATGTATCTGTATCTGGGCTAAAATAAGTCCAGATACATGCAGGGAGTCCAATTTTTCAGAACACCGGTCCCCCCTGGATGTATCTGTGATTCTGTATCTGTGCTAAAACTAAGTCCAGATACATGCAGGGGGTCCGGTGTTGTAAGAACGTGGGCCCCTCAGGAGCTAAAAAAATTGACATTTTTGGGCCAATTTCCATTTTAACCAAATTTCAGTTTACTGTCTTCCCCCCATCATAGCAGTTAAACGCACCCTTTCTTTTTTTCTTTTTCTTTTCCTTTTTTTCTTTTTTTTTTCTTTTTTTTAGGGGGCACAATTGCTCCAATCTATTTGTGGGAAGAAGCACGTGCTGGGAACCGGGCCCAGTGTCCCATATGACATTATACAAAACATGTGAAGTACTGGGGTGGTTACCCGGCTTCGGCTAAAAACTCAATTTTAAAATAATCAAGGATATTTAACCTACTTCTTTTTTTTTTTTTTTTTTTAACTACCGTTGTCTATTCATGGAAAAAAATGGGATAACTAACCTACTCAGTCAGACATAGCTCATGGGACAGAGTCCGGCAGACTAAACTCAAAAGGCCCTAAGAAAAGCCAGCACACCCCAAGCCAGGATAAAATGCACTCAGCTGTCCGAACCTCAACCCTGCTTTAACCACCCACCCATCCTCCTTATCAAGACGCTTCAAGGCCTCTCACACCCCCAACTGCAAACCCTCCTGCGCAGAGAACATGTAAAGAAGGGAGGGAGGGAGGACGGAAGAAGGAGAACACACGAACACAAAAACTTCAAAAACGCCATAGACCGATGGTAAGCGCACAAAATTCAGGCACTTTTAATAAATGAACATGATAGCACAGAAGATTAGCTTCCTTCTATTACTATTACTCATACATGCGGCGCATCGCGATGCGCTGCACCGCGCACATACGCCGCACCGCACATCACGCACTATGCGCGCGCACTGCATGCGGCGCACCTCTAAAAATGGGGGTCGAAAAAAAAAAAAAAAAAAAAAAGTTGTGAGGGGCGGTAGTAGACCCGGCCCCCTGCTCGCGTAAAATAAGAAACGGGCACCAAAATTTTTTTGGAGGCTGCGCGTTGGCCTCAAAGCTTTAAATTTAGTAAAACCTGTAGTCTGTGTAACACTCTGTGTGTATGGTAGGGTTCTTGCAGGCCAGATTCAGTCATGATGAGGGTCGCGACCTCTCAAAAGAATCAAAACGTTCGCTTCTTTCCTGGAGTAGGAAACGACGGAACTGACAGCCGTTTTTCCTGGAGTTTTTTGCTAATAATAAAAAGAAAAGAACGTAAAGAAAGAAAATCAGAATGACAGTTGCACTACTCGCCATCCGTCACATTTCGTGGCGGATTCGTGGAGAGTGAAAAATATGAGAATCGTGTCGAACTCGAGGCCTGGTTGCACGTACTCGCCACTGGATTTCTTTTATGGAAAGGTTAAAAAAAATTGTCTCCCCGATGCTGACTCGTGAAGCCCTGCACTCTCCAGAAAGCTGTTTTGTGGCGAGGTCCAAAGACCACCCTCCACAAACCGCCGTGCACAGGCGGGGAAACTGAATTCACTCTCCACAACTTGTGTCGACGGTGTGGCGAGCCGTCTGACACATTTTGCATTCGCCAAGTTTGGCGAGTAAGTGCAACCAGGCGCCTACTCGCCAAACTTGGCCTATGGCGAGTAGTGCAACTAGGCCCTTACCTGTCGCCCGAATCCGTCAGAAGAGGCACCAACTGTGAGAAAAGAGAATGAATCTTCAGATAGAACATGGAAAGATACATCACCCTCGGTTTTCTCTTTTGATCATGTGGTGAGTGGTGGAGCGAAGCCCCGCGCGTCCAACCTGTCAGAACCTCAACGGGACTATGCACCAACGGCCTCGCTGCACTGCTCTCGACATGCACACAAGACAAATATGGCAATGTATCTTTCCATGTTCAAGCGGAGGATTCAATTTCATTTGTCCAGAAATTCTCCCAAAAAAAAGAAGAAGAAAGATTCCAGAGATACGTTATGTGCTTACCTGAGGCCTGACGCTAGCACTTCCAGAAATGTATCTGATGGCACTTACGGCCAGACTTGGACGAATCTGACCGCAATCACGTCCAGAGCTTAGTAGAAAAGGTCTGAGTGTACGGCATACTCACACTCGGACTTTTTCTACTAAGCTCTGGACGTGATTGAGGTCAGATTCGTCCAAGTCTCGGATAGCATACCTTCTACATCAGCACGCGCCGCCAAAACCATCCGTCGTGGACGCGTGCTGAGGTCGAACGGCTCTCTCTCTCTCTCTCTCTCTCTCTCTCTCTCTCTCTCTCTCTCTCTCTCTCTCTCTCT